TATGCAGGTACAAGTACTACTTCAGTTCTATCTGAAGTAAACACTTGTAGTTAATTAAGCAGACCTAACTTGAAAACTCAGGCTACAAATATGCAAAGTATAAACCTATTTTTACATAAACCACACACTAACTTCTCAGTGGCTATCAATCTCACGTGTTACCCAAGACATACAAAGGTTGGCCCTGTCCTTAATTCATATGCTGCCCAAGGAAAGACTTACAAAAGCCTGGCCTCAACTGTCAGAATACTAAAAACAAAACAAATACCTTGAAAAGATGGCTGTGAGATTAGTAAAGGAAGAGACCCTTTCCAGGCACTAGAATTAAGATATCTCTACAGTAGGACTTAACTGTCAAGGTCAAGCCAAACCTACCTATCATCCACTGGATGGGTCAATATTTGAGTTTTCCTTACACAAGTCTCCCATTTGTGTAGCAACTAAGTTTAACTTTGCTTAAAGGGACATGCTCAATTTAAAGAGAAAGTCACTTCTGTTTAAAATGTTTACTGTTAACACTCAGGTCTTATATACACTGAAAGTTAAGAAGTCTTTCCTTCTATTTTTTCCCAATTTGTTTACATGGGACATTTGTTAGCACTTTACATATAGTCAATTTCAAACTTCATACAGTCAGTTCATTTGTGTACATCTACCCCACATGGCATGTTAGATATAGTTTAATAATCGTGTAATCACACAGTCTTAGTGGTTACACCATTATTTAGTAGTCCCTGGGGCTGGGCCAGCAGCCAGTGCACTCCTGGGTTGGGATGTTAGATATCATGTAAATGAATAGTCATGTAACTGCATGAATTTTTAGCAGTTACACAACTATTCAATAGGCCCCGGGGGTGGGGCTGACAGCCAGTGCACTCCCTGGGAGCCCCAGCCACCCTGTACTGCTGCCTCTCTATCAGGAGCTGGTCCGCGAGGAGATCCAGTTTACAAAACAGCTCCCCGCACAGACTGGCTACCTGTGATACAGGGGCAGCAGTGCAGGGTAGCAGAAGCCAGTCTGCATAGGGATGTGAATGACTAGTCTACATGCTAACCGACTAGTCACTCCCCCACCCTCTTGCTGCCTCTATCAGAAAGAAGTAGCAAGAGATGGGGGGAAGGGAGGGAAGGAAGGAGTGCTTCACAGCAGCAGTGCCACATGGATATGCTGCTTTGAAAAGCTGCATGCAGCTCGGGGTCCCCAGCTGGCCTGGGCTGCACACGGCGTTTCAAAGTGGCAGCACCGCATGAAGTCTGCTGTCTATTGCTTTGAAATGCTGCGTGGAGCCCAGGGTCACCTTGGGCTGTTGCTACACTTGAAAGGTGGAGGAGCCCTTAACTAATAATTAGCCAATTAAACTAAATTTCACATCCCTAGTCTGTAC